TGTAAATAACAAAATGAATTTATTATCAAAAGTTAGGTACAGACATGGTTACTTTTCGACATAATCACCATGAAGATTGAGGAATTTGTTATATCTGTGGACGAGCTTTTCCATTCCCTTGTCATAGAATGTTGCCGCCAATGACTCGAGATCCTAACATTTTGAAGATCACCATTAGTCTCAAACCTTTGCCCTCCTAGCCACTTTTCCTGTTCAGGAAAGAGGTCGAAGTTGCTCGGTGCTCACTGGGTGTTTAAAGGTGTTGAGACTTCCACCTCTTTCCTGAACTGAAAACGTGGCTAGCAGGGCAATGGCTTGAGACTAATGAATTAATGACAATCTTCAAAACAACGTTGTTAAGGCAATCTCAATTCACTTGCAGCAACATTCTATGACAAGGGGATGGAAAAGCTCATCAACAGATATGACAAATGCCTCATTCTTCATGGTGATTATATCGAAAAATAACAATGTTTGTATCTAACTTTTGTTATTTACACTTGTCTTTGTTTTATGGACCATTGGAGCTTGAAAAAAAACTGCCCTCGTAATTAGTATGTTTAATATTTATTTGTATAAAAAAATTAATTTTTAACAAATATTTAATAAGAGGAGAAAGAGGGCGATAAAATTCTATATCTACATATATTTAACAGCATTTGCACTTCAATTTTACCCTTCCAGAATAGTTAGTTCAGTTAAAAAGTGTGTGATCTAGCTACTTCAGCCCCTTGTTCAAAAAGAAAAATATGAACTCTGATCAATTAGTCTGGCTCATTCAGAAAAATAGAGTACTTATTTAAAGCAGGGATAATAAAGGAATGATCCAAAATATTTAAATTTAATTGGGTCAAAATAATTTTACTACTAAACACACATACTACAAAGAACGCTACATATTTAATAAATTAAATTGATATATTTTGTATTTAAAATAAATGAATTATTACAAAATATAAAAAGATTTTTAAAAATTAATAAATATATAATAAATTTTCTTTCATTTAAATAAAAAAACTAAAGTAAATTTAAGATGCGAGAGTCGGAGTCGGCACATTTTATTCCGACTCAGACTCCTCTGGCCAGAAATTCTTCCCGGCTCCGACTCCGACTCCACGGCCCTGTTGGTATCAAGGTCATACCTTTAAAGATGGTTTTGTGTATGATTTTTCTGGGTTTAATTAAAGATCCGTTAACATGTTTATTATTAGTAAACATTATTGAATATAAAATTAGAATATCTTTTTTCCAAAAGTTTTATACAGATATACCACTGAATTTCCAGCATCCTTGGTTCCAGATCTCTGCCAGATTAACCGTTTTGCCAGACTAACCACGATCATGTATCAATATAATAATAATAATTCATCATCACAGCTCTAATCCAACATCTCCCATTATCTAAAATATATCGTAGACTGCTAGAAACTTAAATAAAATAAATATTAAATGTAAATTACATTTGACACCACAACTAACACTTCCAGCTTTCATAGAAAGCCATAGCTAGGATTAAATTTAAGTAAAATGAAGAATGTTGTAAAACTGTAATATCACTACCAACAGTGTAAATAAGTATGCCTTACATATAATGCCCAGTAAACTAGTCTGGTAGCTGCAGGAATTTCAAGTTTTCTCATGAAGTTTTGTTCTGATTAAACAAGGTGCCAGACCATCAGTTGCTGGAAAGTTAGTGGTGTGCCTGTATAATAATTTTCAATATTTAAACATCAAATAAGCAGACATTTAACATAGTAAACAGTTATCCGATATATTTATATTGTCAAACGATATGCTGGATTATCTATTAGGCTATGTTAAGGCTAGTAACTAATAGATACGAGTCAATTTGGCAAGAGGTAGGTGCTTCATTCCTACTACTAGCCAAAATTGATTTGTGTCTAATTAGTTAGCCTTAATATAGCCTGTTAAATAACCCAGCAGATCGCATGTTTGGTATATTATAATTTGTCTATAATGTAGCTGCATAATGCTATGAAGTCTGCTTAATAAGTTTATTTATTTCAGAAATTAAATTTCTTATCTTGTATCTGAAAGTGTTATTTGAAGTAATTATGAAGCTTTGAATAATTTTAATATTTTTAAAAACCGTGAATCTTAGTTAAATTATTCAATTTGATCTTTTTCTTTAACACAACAGCAAAAAAGTAACGGGAAGTAGCAATGCAGGAAATATCTTATTTCAAAATATCGGTTTTCGTTGATGTTCATTCGCATTGTTTTAATTCATTCTTATTAGTTACGTATTAGTAACAAGATCTTGTATTCTACCTATAACAGACAAAATTTTGCCACCCATACAGCCTTAAATGTGCCAATGCCTCACATAAAGGTAGATCACATGATTTGTGGGCTAGTGCTAAATTTTTCCTTGTCATCTTTTACACTTTTTGAGGGTTTGTTTTACTCAAAATTCTCTCTTGACCTATACACATCTATGATAGGGTCAATGTCCATGTATAAGTACAGTCAATTAAACAGGTGTTATTGTTGTTGTAGTTATGTATGCTTCCATCTCCTCAGGTGTGAAATATTTGTTTTTGGAATTTTCTTCGGTCGTAGAAACAAAGAAAATGTGAGATTAAATCATTGGACTTAACCTGATGTGATGATTTTTCATTTGCAGTGATCGCCAACTGCACAATATCAACATTTGGTACGTTCCAGTATACATCAGTCTCATTCACAACTGATGCACTGGTAAACAGTTTAATAAACTTTTACTGGAACATCTGGTAACCTAATAGAATGTGAAAAAATCCCAATTCTTTTCCTGTAAGAAATTTTAAAATTTTTATTATATAAATTGTTCCTATTTAAGAGTATTTCTCACTTAAGTAGACTGAAATCATTGTCCCACAACTGAAAAATTGACTTGCTCAAGAAGTTTCCCAACTTGAAAATTTTATGTATTTAATACCATATAGAAAAAGAAAAAAAATTATGTTAGGAAATGCACAAAATTTCCTGTCATTTTGTGCAAGGCTTTGGGCTACTTTGAACACAGATTTTACAATTTTCTTATGTGGTTATCTGGCTACAGTGCTTGCAACAAACAGCAAGATGGCAAGATCTGTAAAGTGCTGTCATTTCATAGGTGATACTGTAAATCTTCGACAAATTTAATATAGTAGTTTTAGATCTGTAGTGTTTGTTCAAGGGAGTTATAAAACATTTTATTTTTATTTTTTACATAACAAAACAGATGAAGTAGTTACACGAGACAAATATCTTAATAAATAAATACTGTGTAAGCCTAATCTACTTGTTATGATGGACAAGTTTTATTTTTTTTCCAGCAAATATGCTACAATGCGCAAGACATCATTTAAAACTGAAACTCGAAACCATAGAGTAAACAGAAAATCCATGTTGTCAGAACTGAAACTGGCAGAAACTGCCACCATACCATAGCTTGAGGTTTTTATTTGCTGGCTGAAAAGATAAATCCAATAGAACTAGTATTCTGTAAGTCAGATACATTGAATAGAAATCAAGTACTTCAAGGATTATAAGAGCCAAGATATCTAAGTCCACAGTAGTCAAGTAGATAAAACCACCAAACACTGGTAGTTGGTCATGGGTTTGTGCCTCGCCAGTGGGCTGGCCATGTAAGTTTTCTGGGTTTTCTTCACATTAGTAACACCTAAATAGGGACCAGTTTCCCTTAAAAGACCTCCTGGAAGGCATTTCCCCCGCGGCATATTGCCCATGTGTTGCATTGCTGTAACTGAATAAAACCAAGCCAAGATATTTAAGGATAAAATGTTCTTGTGACTTTCCATCTCAGCTTCTGATCCCCCAACTGAGGTTAGTTCTGAAAGTGGGAATCTCTCTCTGTCTTGCTTATTATAAGCTTGCAAGTATATGATTTTTGTTTGATCTGTTTAATATGGAGTTGCATAAACTAGAATATTTCTTTCAAATAATTCAAATAAATGGTCTTTCAAATTGAATGTCACCATTTTAAATTACTGTAATTGTGTTAATTATTATCCAAAAAAGTATGCAATGTAAACAAAAATGGCGACTATGCAATAGAGATGTATTGTGTACTGCAATTTGCAAAGTCAGACTCACTCATCATGTAACACGAGTAGGAACTGCAGTAGCTGTAGAATTGTGGCTGCTGTGGGAGGAGTGATGGTAGCAAGTGTTGGAAGAATTTGAGATTTGGTTGAACTTGTGCCAGGCAATACGAGGTGCACACATTGAAAAATTGTAATGGGCAAATGAGAAACTTGGACAGTTTTCCTATGTTTTAATGTACAGTACATTACAACATTCTTGAATTACAATTAACATAATTACAATAGTTTAAAATGTTAGCATTCTATTTGGAAGACTGTATTTTTAGTTATATTTCCAATTTTTACAGTAGAGCCTCGAAAACTCAGCCTAATGTGGAACAAAGGGTGGCCGAGTTTGTGAAAATGCTGGGTTATCGGGAATGGGGTTAAAAAAGGATAAGTATGCGTGTATCCTCAGAAAATATTGTACTGTACTTGTATGTATTGTTTGCTTGAGAATACAACAGAGAATAAACTGCCCAAGTAGTCTTAAAGAAAGGAAAAGTAGAGCTTTTACTACATGAAAATGAAAATTAATTAATACACTGTGTACAGTAATTTACTTGATAAGACAGACCTCAGAAAAATACTTTGAGTCATAAAGCTGTCTATAATGAAAATTAATTAACTAAGGATTTTTTTTGCCCTGCCAAGGTGTGGCCGAGTTATTTGGAGTGCCGAGTTTTCGAGGCTCTACTGTATTATACATTTAATGAAAATCTTTGCAATTATATAAGAAATTACAAAGATACATCATTCATTTTAAAAGCATTAAGTTCATAAGATACAATACAAAAAATGTTTAAATGAATACTTTTTGCATATTTAGTAAAAAAAAAAGTTTAAATATTGTATTATTAATAAGTTAACAAGAAGAATAATTTGAAATTAATAGAAAGGCATCTTAAATTATTAATGTCTTTATCATTTAATGATATATTATATGACAAAAACATTAATAATTTAGAACAATAACGGTGATGCAGAGATTAATTAGTTGAAATTGATGATTAATGGTGACGGACAAAGTACGTACAGTTTCAATTGTCTTCTCTGCTGCTAGTATTATTCACATAACCTAATTAGTAATAAATAGTTGGTGCACTTAATCAATAACAGAGACAATCTGGCCGCAGAAGTAACCTTTAACATGCAAAATGTATAAAATTTGTAGATTCGGACATTGCATAAACTCATCTCGTTCTAAATTGGCATATCTCGGTGGGCAAAATTAATTTTAAATGGAAAAAAAAATGTAGGAAATTGCATCAGCCAGAATACGAGTGACAAGATGACGATTAAGTAATAAACACATATTATTTTAAATTTTGTTATGAAGTAATTAGAAAAACATTGCATACTAAAAGAGTTTTTTCTAGTCAATTTCAAAGAAAAGGTTGAGAAACACTATTCTAAATATGTCCTATCCATTTGCCCTTGGAAGAGAGTGTTGGAGGGCCTCAGTAAGGTCTCCAGTATAGAATCAAAATTTGTTAGGAGGACCATAAATTTATATAGCTTTGATGCATGAAAATAGATTTTTTTTCTTCCCCAAATAGTCTATGCAGGGGACGAGTGTCAGTGATTTGTCAGGGAATTTTTTTTATACCTAATGGAATTTTGCAATGTTATTAAACACCTCTACTGTTTTATCTTTATGTATTTATATTCATTATAACTGTATAATTTAAAATGATGGCTAAAAGTTTTCTGTGTTTATCCACATAAAGCCGATTGTAATTTTATGTTTGATTAGTTATGAACCAGTTTTAACTGTTTAATATAATGCTTGCATCAAGGAACTTGCATTGTTTGGAACATAAGAGATCCTGTACTATTTGTTCACTTCATTTTTTATTTTATACTTTACAAAATACCCGTCAGGAATTTCTGTTGAATCTCATAATGGAAATCATCCGTCATGGAGAAATTTAACATGCAAGCAAAATTTGAATGGCCAATTTGTCAATGTCTTTTACTACTAGAAATATTACATTTTAAGGATAAATATATATATATTTTTTTAAATAAAACAATTCTGTTAATTAATGTAACATAAATTTCGTGTGTGCACCTGCATATAAACATGCTAAAAGGCTCAAATTAACTGTATTAATTTAAGTTAATAAGCAATCCTTTGTGTATAATGACGCTAAAGTTTATATTAAATATATATTTTCCTTATAGTGGAAATTTCTAAAGTTTCCGGTGTGTAAGATTATACATAGTTTGTTTTTTGCCTGTATTTTTTATTTCTGTAATATGTTTGAATAATGTGTGCATGCACAGAACTAGCTTTGTGGGTTCATGACCTGTGCTTTTACACAGGCCCCAGAACTAAAGGGTCCCTACACTTTGTTAATGCTCACCCCTTAGTGTCTTGGATCCTATGTTTATACTCTGCACTGGAGCCTGTTTGTGTGCATGGATAATCTGAATTATATCATAAAGGTGTATAAGGTTGCTTCTTTCAGATATAAAAAATTACAGTTAATTACATATAAATCCAACTTTTTCTCATTCAGAATGATATTTTAGTGTACAAAATTCATCGAATAATTATTCTGTTCTGTAATTCGAGTGCTAATTACCATAGTGTAATCCAATTTCTGCTTTCTCTCTCTCTCCACTCAAGTTAATCACAATAATCATCCAAGTTCTTGAATAATTATATAGAGATTTGCTAATTTTATTTTTAATGTTTCTCATTTATTTTAGCTTACAGCAGAACATTATTATTATTATTATAGAGTTTGTACGCCTCTACAGTTTGTGCTCAGTAGCTCGTGAGTCCCTTCCCCCTGTAGTAATTCATTAAACCCGTCTCTTAGATGTCGTGTTACTACACTGTTTCGTATCTCGGTTATATTTGGATGTGATCTCACGTGACAGTCGGATTTCTCCTGTGTTTAAACATCTCCCTAAGCTAAAATTCGTATTGAATCAATGTTATACAGATGCTGAATGTTTACGGCTTATCGGCGCTAAACTTCAACCTTGACTCGATAAACCGTTTTGTTGGGTTGATAAATTGATTTCAGAACACTGGGAAACTTTTGTGATTTATTTATTTATTATCGGTTTGTTAATACACTTGCAGATAGCGTGGGGGGTTCGAAACGGTCTGGGATTATCGCCGACGGACCTTGGCCCCTTTGTCTATATGTATCAAGGCCTGGCGTAATTATTTAGAACGTTGGCATTGTTTACACGAAAAATGAAATTTTCGACAGAAACGTTTAATAAGTCAAGGTAAATGAATGAATTCTATGAACCCTTTGTGACGTTACGGAACTGTGAAAAAGGTTCGAATGTTCTGCATTGTTTAGAGGAGAAAGGAGCCAATTGAAAAAAAAAAAAAAAAAAACTTTCCTCCCCCTCGGCGCGTGATTTATGTAGTCGGGATTTTCGGGAATTACTTCCGATTCAAGTGATGGTGTGGTGGTACTGTTGTGTATATTTGATTTGGGGCGAGGGGAAATCCGTTTTCTGTGAGATTTCTTGATCGATTGCTGTTTGATTGCGAGGTTAAACGGGGCTCTTGGATGCGATTTTCAGCACTTGGCACAGATTTTTTCGGTTTCTGGAACGTTACACCTTGGCATCAGTGACATAAATTACGCGCGCGGCGTTCGGAAGATCGTTACGTTTTACTCTGTCGGCACTAATTGGCGAGTGCCTTTATTTTCGGTCGTATCTGGCGCTTTTTTTTTCTTCGTGCCCGTCTGTCTGCAGTCCGAGTGGGTCAAACGTAGACCACCCGCAACGCCCCCCACCCGGGTGTGCCTCGAGAGGGTCATCGACCTCCTTCACTGGAGCAGACTGGGTATTGATCTGGTGCGTCGCCCACCCCGCTGTGACGGAATGGTACTGCCCGAGTTTTTCTCGTCCGTCCCCCTTCTCTCTCTCCTCTCCCGCTTGGCTCGGTGTGGGGGTCGCGCGCGTGCGCAGTGGCAGTTTCGCCTTTCATTCATTGCTCGGAAAGTCTGCACTGTGAACATATTGTGTGCTTTTGTCAGCATGGAACAATGCAAGTGCAGCCTGTGATCCTGTGGCCCTGTTGGTTTGCTTTAGAACCCTATCCGCATCCGTCGACATATGCTGCTTCGTCCACATGGTCAGCATCGATGGACACCAGGTTGGTCCCCCTCTCGCCTTCTCCAGGCTTTTGTTTACCAAATTTTTCTCGATTTCCGCCCCCCCCTGCTCCGGTAGCGCGTTTTAAATGTCGTTACTAGCCACGGGGAAGAGTTGGTGTTCTTGGGTTGTCTGCAAGAACGACGAGGTTTATCGATCGCATTCGCGTCTATCCTGCTGATTTTACGATTCTGCTCGATATTCGCGCACGGTGTCGACCCTTGTATCGCCAAATTCGCGAAATTGCTTAACGATAAATTAAAAATTAAGTGTACCAGGTGGTGGAGGTTGTAGACCTTTACGGATGGAAGTGTCCCTAACTGCTAGGATGTGCTTATTAGCCACGTGCTGATATATTAGAAAGGGGGTAGGAAACAAAGGCTCCCCCGTGCAGGTGGTCAAAAACTTAGTAGACCAGCTGGCACTGTAGGCAGCTGTTTGGGGGCTCCTCTTTTTTATTCATTTTGCCGTACTCACCAGAGTGTCATGTCTCTTTTCAGGTGTAAAGAACCGAGCTATCCGATACCGTTTGTAGTGGCAGCCTATTCGGGTTTTGGTCTATATCTGCACGATGAACCTAGTCTGAGACAATCGAGGAGAGCCAGTAGAAGACCCGTCAGGTCTGCCAAACCGAGGAATCGCTATTTGGTGTACCGACCCGTACCGCCTTTCTACACCCCTCACTGGTTGGTCAACATGGGACAGAAAGGATCTACGGGAATCAAACCCATAAGTCGAGAGACGTCGGCACCCTGCCATTCTCACCTACCTAGAGATCTGAACTTGGGACAGGAATTGCCCAGACCGGCCAGATTGGACATGCTCTTGGATATGCCGCCGTCCAATCACGATGTACAGGTGAAGCATGCATGGAATTCCGAGGACCGTTCTCTAAACGTATTCGTCAAAGAAGACGATAAATTAACATTTCACAGACATCCCGTTGCCCAGAGTACGGACTGCATAAGAGGAAGAGTGGGGTACACTCGTGGTCTTCACGTATGGGAAATTCACTGGAGTACCAAACAGCGAGGGACACATGCAGTGGTTGGTGTGGCAACCAGAGATGCTCCTCTACATTCTGTCGGTTACCAGTCCTTAGTCGGTAGTAATTCCGAATCTTGGGGCTGGGATTTGGGACGTAACAAAGTTTATCACGACACCAAAAATTGTCCCGGACAAGTCTATCCAAGCCTACTGAAATCTGACGAGACATTTATTGTGCCAGATAATTTCCTCGTTGTTTTGGACATGGATGAGGGCACTCTAGCATTCGTCGTAGAAGGCCAATATCTGGGAATAGCATTTCGTGGTTTGAAAGGAAAGAAACTTTATCCTGTTGTCAGTGCCGTCTGGGGTCATTGTGAAATTACCATGAAATATATTGGAGGATTGGACCGTAAGTAACTTTACTATCTTTTTAAAATTATAATGTTTTAATCTTTAAGATTTATTATCAAAAATAAATTTAAAAATAAAACCGAGCAGAGAGAGGTGGGGAGAAAAAAACAGGAATTATTAGATCATAGGCATGTTTATTGTCAGTACGAACAGATGGTCTGCAGTAAACTAGGCAGGAAGTTGACATTGGTAAGGAGAGGCAGTTGAGTATGAGGCGGACCAGCTGTATCCTGTGTATTTGTTGTTACTGGACTTGCTTGTTTAAAAAATGTAGAATTGTATGCAATGAGTATATTCATACTTACAACTGTTATATTCATTTCTTAAACTCTGTACCAGGAGATTTTAATATCAAATCATTTGATTGACACTTTTAATCACCAGATAATGAAGAATTCTTAAATAGTTTTTGAAAATTTTTCATAAATATTTTGCAAGAAGTAACAATTAATTATGTACATTTCTTTCTGTTCCAATGGTTAATAAACATTAAAAATTTATAGATTTCATTGCTATAAAGAAAATGAGAAAATTATACTTTACAAACAAACTATTTAGTATTAATGGATAAAATAAAGAAATTTATAGTTTTTATGAATTATAAATTCATTTCTCCTTGCTAATTTATACTAAAAATTCAAAACCGGCCAGAGAGTGAACGAATGAGATTCTTCTCAGCTTACGATCCAATCAATACATTAGATTAATGGATGGTTTGAGACTTTATTAATTACAGGTACAAATTTAAACTCTCTGCTAAGTAAATTATATTTATTGTTATTATTATTTATCCTTCTTGTGTAATATCAAGTGAAATTAATTATATTAGTCTAAAGGTATTACAGTATACTTCTCTACTGAATTCATAATGATACCCCTACAACTCCCAATGCAAACTTTAGTCTTGACACTTCAAACGAAATGTGTGAATTATTTATTCTATAAAAATGTTAAGTTTTGAGTAGAATATAATTAAAAATATATTAATGAACGAAAAGCTATGTACGCAAATGTAGTATTTAAATATGACCGTTTAGAACTTACTCACCTTCTTCTTACAGTTATAATTAATTTATAAAAGTTACAATGGAAATAATACTGCTTTTTTGGAGTTTAAATGGCATTTAATTCTAGTGTTTTAGTATTTTCAACCAAGCAACGAGTTTGTTGCAAAGAGAGCTTTCGGGCAAGCCACTTTGTTGTTTGCTTGAAAGCTATTTTTTCCTTATTAAACACTTCGAGAAAGTAGTTTTTATCTTTAGTTATATTTTCGGATGTGCAGTGTTTTTATAATAGTTACAATTGATTTAAATAATAATTTCTGATACATTTACATTTATTTGCTTAAAATGTGAATTAAGTTTCAGTATTATAATGTATACAATTAGCATTTTTCGATAAGAAGAATAAATATTTATGAAAATTATATATTAAAATAACACTTAAGTTTTAGTTTTTCAATATAAACATTTTCTAGAATACAAACAAATGTCAAAATATTTAGAACAGTCAAACTTCTATGTAAACATTGACTTTAGATTGACTATAACAATTAATAAAAGGACAGTTTCTCGGCTTTAGTTTTAGTTAATTTGGTTTCTTGACGGGAAAAATAAAGCCAAGACTTCGGAAATTTAACAAGTGCTGTATTGTTTCTGATCTGATTTGTTATTAAGGTCATGATTAGGTTTCAGTATCCTTACATTTATTTTTATACAAAGCAACATTTTATTATGTACACGACTAATTTCTTGCCCATTGTTTTGAATCAAAGTTTTTAAAATTATTTTGATGTTCATTTGGAACTTTAAATCAAAATAATAAATCTTTACCCTCAGGTAAAGTTTCAAAATACTTGCTTTCTCGAATGTTTTTGAATATTTATAGTTTCCTCTTATAAACACACTGAACTAAATTAGGGGAGGTGTGTGGAGGTTTCTCAATTGTCGAGGAACACAAGGTGGAAATCTGTAGCAAGAGTTTTTACAGGACCCTTTAATGTAGGATTAATTTTAGCGGTCCATAACATTGATCTGGCAAGCGGGGGTCATACGTAATATATGAAAGACCCTGCACAAATCCTCTAAAAATATTTAAAACTTTCGTATGAAATATGATTAAGAAATTGTTTACAAAATGCTGAAGTTCTCTGAAAGTTGAAATTCCTGTTGACAAAAGGATAAAATCTTGCTGACAATTTAAAAATAATTCTTTTTTTTTTTTTTTTTTGACAATTTTATCATGACCTGATTTTTTGGTGCATTTTTTAAGTAATTTCAATTGACCATTACAATAAATAACAAGGGATAATTGGCAATTTACTAGTTTTCGATCCAAATGGATATCTTGAGAATGACTTAAATAAAAAGAATTTAATAGCACTAAGAAGAAGCAAGGTAGCTCATCAAAGTTACTAATAACAAAAAACATTTTAAGACTTCACAGTTGATTTCAGGATGTCAAAAATGTTTCTTGGCCATTTTCGGATTACAAAGAAGTACAATTGTGCGATTTAAAACACATTTTAAATCTGTTTTTTTTTTTTTATGCCGAGGATGGCCGTAGGCTGGCCAAAAATGTTTCTTTGATAAAGAATAAGATTTTGACTTACCAAACTTAATGGCATGATCTTTTGAATTACAATATGGCACAGAGTTTCACAAAATTTCATTGTAAGTATTTTAAATTAGATGCGGGATTTATTTGTAGTTTAAACAAATTGAAAGTTGTCAATAGAGATTTTATCTGCAAAAGTTTCATAAATTACTATTATCTCTTTAGTCATAATGATGAATAATGGTTGACACATGCTATTTTGTATTGAGATTCTAATAGTAAACATAAACAATTAATTGAATATTCATGTTAAACTCTGAAGCTATTAATCATTAGTAATTGAGTGTTATGTTGTTGATTATTTAATTACGCAATGGAGCATCATGATTTTTATTCATATAAATTGCTGCTTTAATTTAAAGTGGGATAATTTAATGGCTTATTTGTATATAAAGGTATTGAAGGCACTAATAAACTAAATCGGATAAATGCTAATATAATTAAATGTATATTCTTTAATTATTAGCTTTAAATTATAGTCAGTTTCTCTCTGATCTGTTTGTCCTCTCTGTTCCTCTCTGATCTCTTGATATTCAATTCTTATATGAGTAAAATGTGAATTAATTTTCAGTATTATAATGTATACAATTAGCATTTTTCGATGTCTGGTGGACAGTTGGCTGAGTGTGTTAAGCAGGGCTGTGGAGTCGTGTAAAAATCTACCGACTCCAACTTTTCCTTACCATCCGACTTCGACTCCGTTTCATATACATAACAAGTTGGTAAATAAAAGGGAGTTGGAGTCGGCGGATTTTTTGACGACTCCGACTCCAGCTAAAACACCAAAACTCCATGACTCCCACAGCCCTGGTGTTAAGGCATCAGCCCGCTTACTCTGGGGAATCCAGGATAGAATCCGAACAGTCCAAAAGTCCTAGAAAAGATTTCTGGGACTTTTGGACCTAGATTAAGTTGTCCCAATTAAGTCAAGCTCCATCCTTTGCCAGTGTCATTTCCATTGTGGGCCTGGCTGAATTTGCAATGAAGGGTCCTCTTAATGCTTGCAGAAAAATCATATCAATCATTTTTGTTGTAAACTAGTATTATATATTATCTTTGATTTTATTATTAATTTAATATTAATTATTATTATTATTACTTTTTTTAATTTACACAGCTGAACCATTACCATTGAAGGAAGTCTGTAGAAGAGTGATAAGACAGCAGATAGGCAAAGCAAGACTACATCGTATACATGAGCTTAACCTTCCAACGGCACTTAGAAGTTATCTTTTATATCAGAATAGGAGGTAACAATGCCAACGCATATTAAATGGAGTAATCATTGATTACTAAATTCCAATGCAATTCCAATGACATTTTTGTCCAGAAGTGGCACACTGGTATTACATACATGTTACATATGCAGATACATAACATATATATATAAAGTGCCAAAAAAAAAAAAAGAAATTTACTTTCCACCATTATTCCTTGCATGCCATCTTCTGCTCATTCTTTAACAGAAGATGAACATTAAGATTTATGAAACTAAACAAAAGAAAAATAAAATAAATAAATAAAGGATAAGGAGAAATTTCAGATAGTTTAGTAAAAGTAGAGAAGTAAGAAAACATTTTGATTTTCTAAATAAAAATAAAAAAAGTCCATAATTTTTTATGAAATGGCTTTAGTGCAGCGAGTGCCGTTTGGAAGGAACCGAAGAGACATCGAGCGTACCACCTAAAGCATTCGGTTTATGTAATTCAGAAGCAGTTATTTTGTATACATAGCGTATCCGTTCCGAAATTTCCGGTTACTTTCCACAATTTTTTTTAAGTTTCACACCCATTAAATTTGTAAATTGTCGGAGCGGCCGCACACCAGGGGAACCGGCGGACGCAGATCCACAACGATCGCGAGTTGCATTTACTTACGAGAGGAGAAGTCACGTCACGGCATCGTAATGACATTCAACGTTACATGATTTTTTTGTTTTGTAAATTATTTATAAAACGTCTTATATATATATTTTCTTGCACAGTTGTACTTAATTAAATAATAATATTATAACGACAACAATGATTTATAAGCACTGCTGTGAAATAACATTTTTGCTGCATCAGNACTTTTCGACATAATCACCATGAAGATTGAGGAATTTGTTATATCTGTGGACGAGCTTTTCCATTCCCTTGTCATAGAATGTTGCCGCCAATGACTCGAGATCCTAACATTTTGAAGATCACCATTAGTCTCAAACCTTTGCCCTCCTAGCCACTTTTCCTGTTCAGGAAAGAGGTCGAAGTTGCTCGGTGCTCACTGGGTGTTTAAAGGTGTTGAGACTTCCACCTCTTTCCTGAACTGAAAACGTGGCTAGCAGGGCAATGGCTTGAGACTAATGAATTAATGACAATCTTCAAAACAACGTTGTTAAGGCAATCTCAATTCACTTGCAGCAACATTCTATGACAAGGGGATGGAAAAGCTCATCAACAGATATGACAAATGCCTCATTCTTCATGGTGATTATATCGAAAAATAACAATGTTTGTATCTAACTTTTGTTATTTACACTTGTCTTTGTTTTATGGACCATTGGGGCATTATTGATGGAAATGACCATCATTTGTACAAATNTAAATATATAAATATAAATATAAAATAATTATATATATATATATATTATATATATTAAGTCTCTTTTGAAAAGGTATCACAGGGGCATCTAGTATTTATTGTTTAAGTTTTTTTATTTTTTTTGAGAAGAGTAGCAATAAAATTCAGTTATTTGTGTCTATGATATGTGTGTGTAAATATCTAAACTACACCCCCTTCTTGTGTGTCAATTTAAATGTTTTTTTTTTTTTTTTAATTTTGGCACTTTGTATAATTTCTTCATCTTTTGTTTCTCTTTGTAAAACTTTATCTTTTGAAATTAAAAATTGCAGTTTTTTATAGTTAAGGTTGGAATTTATTGCTTTTGTTTTACTGATTTATTTTTCTGTTTTTATATGAAGAAAACGTGAATAGTATCCGGGTCATATTTTGGAGTTGTGCCCACCAGCGGCCGAATCCACCGAACGGTAATAGTTAGTGCCGAGTTTGCACCCAGCCGACATGGAGTTTTCTGGGTCTAACGCCTAAGCGGATCCAGTTTGCCATAGAAAGTCCTCCCAGGTGGCATTCTTCTACAGCAGATCACTTGTGTTGCATTTCCTTATCCCATTAATCCTACAGATCAAGATTTGCTATCTTAACCTGTAATATACAGGACCCCATCCCTCTGCCAAATAATAATGACTTTGCCGGCCAAGCTCTACTTTTTAAGAGTTAGTCACCACCACCGTATGGTGCCAACGGAGCAAAGAGGGCCTCCCAGTATGTACAAGGAGCCTTCAAAATTAGTCAACGTGGCAAGCTATTTGAAGAAATGCCTTTGCCGTATCTCTAAGTATTGAAGGCTCTTCTCCAATGAAGGATGGATGATAGGAGGAGGAGGAGGAGGTTCTAACCTATTTCGCTTGAGGGCCATGGTTTTTAAAATTTTTAAGGCATGTAGGGAGGCCCAAAAGTTAATCACATTTTAATAGATTTACCCAAACTTTTGTTTGTTGAACGTACACAATTCCATTTTAAAGTATATATTTTTAAAAAGTTTTAAGCAATAAAGTATTAGAATAAGAGTACAATTTTAGCCTACGTGGTTAACTGATTTTTGGGCCATCTTGTAAATATTTTATCGATTTTTTTTTTTTGTTTAACGAAAATTATTTAAGATGAAATTCTTATTAGGGATACAAAATTATCCCTAATGAATCTAATTAAGGCATTTAAATTCGAATAATTTTTTTCCTAATTAAATTACTGAAGTAGCAAAACTTTATATTTCGCTCGACAGATGGCGCCACAGTACTCTGTACTCCATCGAGATCAACACCCTTGCTTGTGTATAAATATATATAAATTAAATATTGATTTATGGTTATAAATTAAGATGATTTATATTCTCTTGAATATTTATGATAGAATGTTTGATGTTTATGAGCAATTATGTATATAATTGATTAATCGATTCTATGATACCTTGTACAGTTTAATTTACCTTAAAGTAAATGGAGCGTGCTCATTTTTAATCTCGTAATTAAAATCTTACCCACTCCTCCTTGGTAAAAAAAAACAATTTTCGAGCTTTTAGAAGCATTAAAGTTAGTTAATCCATGATGGGAGGCATCCATCATCTGACGATGCCTCTCATCATCATCATCATCATCATCATCATCCTGGATGCAGGACCAAATTTTCACACATTCTGCAGCTTAGAGCCTTGTATTATGTGTCTATGGCTTAGGGCCTCTCATTTTTCCATGTCTATTTGGGGAAGGCAAAGGCCTGTTGTATGTTACAGCTTACTCGTTAGTCAAAAGATGGGTGCAAAAGTTGCTCAGGACCACAAGATAATGGGGTTCCCTATACAATGTTTCTGTGTACTTCCTTTAATATAATTTGCTACAGGGCCTCCAGCTTACCCGTTAAATTGCAGTTTGTAAGTTTGCATACATAAAATTTAGATTACTATTGAGAAATGCTCCGTTAGGTACCTTCACGAGGCACTTTGCATTGAGATCTCAATAAATTTAATATATAAAAAATAAGTAAAATTCTTTAATTCTACCTTTGCAAATCGATTTACCACGTGGGCCACAAGATTTTGCGCCAATTATATGATGGTCACCTCGGCGTTGGACCCCGAGGAATTTGCAATGAGATTTCGGCTTTGGCGGTTGTGGTTTTCACTTAAGTTGGAATATATAAGGAAGTAAATTAGATTAAAATATTAAATAGTTGCATGGGTATAATTATTAAACATCCGTTTTACCTACTTTAATATTACAATTTAAGCGGCAGCTCGAAATTAAGCCATCTTGTAACCCTCTACTTTGATTGGCAGGGTCAGAACCCAAGTCATTATCGCACATCGATGTAACGAATGCAAATATCAAGTGTGCCATAAGAATATAATTAGGTTGCATCATTTTACTCTCCCGATTATAAATACCTTGGAGAATAATTATAGAAAGAACTACAGCTTCGGAATGATGATGAGTGATTACCCCCCAGTCCATTGTGTCGTGAATTCAACATATATTTGCATATTGCTACCCTATACTAAATTATTTTCTAAAACATTATGCTGCTTATATGGGCGCTCCACCTAATTTTCTGTGAAATTCTTGCAACTGAACAGCGATTTTTTTGGGGGGAGCGTTTACTGCGGAAGGCTTTTTTTTTGGTGTGTGTTATCTTGTAATTTTCATTCATGTTTATTAAAATTAGGGCTTAATTAGATGTATGAATCCATTTATTTACCCATTCAAGTAAAAATACACAAGATTATCTTGTAGAATCGCCCTTCCAAGAGGAGGAGATTCTATGAGAGAGCCTTACTAAGACGAGTCGTTTAATATTTTATCCTGGCTCACCCATGAGCTATAAGAATCCACTTTTTAGCCCAAAATTGCGTACTTTTCATAAAATCTCCCATAGAGGAAGGGGTGCCATAAGAAACCATTTTCTTAATCTAATCAGCTTGTGAGGGTTCATCCGATATTTTATGCTGACTCGTGCTCTAATTGATGTACCTCTTAAAAACCCCCCATTATCTTAAAACCAGATTGAATCCCCGATAAACCATCGTGTGAACATACCGTAAATGATCTTCAAGTGCCATTTTACCTTTGGGGCTAATGGCAAAATTGAAAAGGATAAAATGTAAACATGACACAGTTCATTATCCTTTGACAAAAACGCAAATAATTGAATCCCAATGGGGAGAGGGGGAAGGAGCGAAGAGCGAAAGAAAGACGGGGGAAGAGAGATCTTTAAAATAGTCAAAGAAATATACATTAGGGTAGGTAACCCTGTGATTGTCGTTGCCGCACACGTTGATCTCTAACTCGTCGAAAAACCCCTTAATGATCACGTGAGGATATCATTTTAGATGACGGTCCTTTAAGCATCATCCATGACCGCCCTTGCCCGGGGCCCTGTACTTTTTAACTACTAGCGAAATGTGGCAGACAATAAAATGATATGTTCTATCTCTCAGTTTAACACGTTGTTCTGTCATTTGCTTCTACCAAAACGTGTTCCTCACAGCGGACTCACGAACCACCCACTGGGTTTCTAGATGTCGGAATTGCGAAAATTGAAATCGTGGGGTGGGTAATAAATGACTACTTCTATCGACAAACCCGACTTTTCTACTTTATAGATGGGCGGTTCTTCCTCGTTCTCTTTTCTCGCCTTATAGTTTAACATCATTCTAATTCGCCACATTCCCCCCTTTAACGTATCCTTTAAAACTTTCTCTTTTAAGAAAATTCGCCCAATGAAAATCGTCGATACAGTTTTTACTTAAAAGCGAGGTGGTTGAAAGACCTTTGCTCTTCGGCTTTTCTACCTCGAAACCGACCAACTCTTCCCTAAACATCTCATCTCCCTTATCTTCTTCCTCATTAAA